TTGGCTGCTACTTCCTTCCATGGCTGCAAAGTTTTTATTTTTTAACCCCGTTCTCGAAAACAAGTGGAAGGTGCATGAGGTGAATATTTTGGGAGGGGTGAAAATCATACGAAAAGTTATTGTTTCGTATAGAAAAGTCAAAGAATGAAAAGAAGAGGTAATATATGTTTTTTTATCTTGTTTTCAATATAAAATATTGAATAATGTTCGTCAATATGAATCAGGACAATTATTCATCAAAAAAATCTATTATAATATGAGTCAAATAAGATAATTTAACTCGAGACACTAGTGAAACAAGTTTAACTAATATATTGTTGATGAACAGAAATTCAAAATGATTTGAATCATAATAACTTTTTCAAAAGTACAAGAATGTTACCATTTATGCGAGAGATGTTGAGTTTTTTTTTTATAACCGAGAAACATGGCCACACACATCGCTTGAGCGATGACGGGGTGAGACCAAACCTGAGCGTTCACCTGCTTGAGCTCTTTGAGACTTCCACTAAGATCTCCATTAACAGTGTCGTCGAGAATATCACGAAAACGCCTCGAGAGAAATCGAACTCGGAAACTCACACGTCCAGAACGAGCTCTCAACGAGAATCGCCAATCGGGCTTGTGATCTTTGATCGAGAGATGTTGAGTTTGAACCTCAAACTTGCTTATTTAATAAATAAATAAATAAATAAAAACAAATCATGTAAAAGAAAAACAAGAAAACCCCACTTTTTAATAATAATAAAAACCACTTTCGTTTTATTATTAGGCCTCTTGTTTGTCCTTTTATGTCTGTCTAATCTAGTACAATATAATCGACTTAACTTTCCTCTTATCATAGTATATCATTTCCCCAATATTTTAATGTGTAAAATCCGGTGACAAAATCTTCGGAACTCATTATTCTATTGTTTCAGATAGGATCAGGGGAACGATATTATTAGTGACGAGACGGTGGAGAATTAAGAAGGGGGGCATTAACAAGGCGTTCGTCGACTTTGTATATTTGTGGGGTACACGGCTAAAAGGGTTGGGTTTTGCCTCGCACTTCGCAGGCCGAAAATATGCATAGTTGGGGTTTTTTTTAATACTCAAGATTTGTGAGATAATCATCGTTACTGCAACCATGATTACACCACAATTTCACTTGCATATCAATTCGATTCGAGATTTCTAAAAGTTAAATGTTTCAATTTTCGTAAGGTTCTGGATTGAGTTTCTCTTCCTATGAAATGCTTGTAGCATGCATGATTGTGTAGTCTGATCTATAGAAGAAAAAAATACGATCTCATTTTAAAAGAAAAATTGTTTGATCCCGATAACTTGATACGTGATAGTCTGACAGAGGTCAGATTAGACATCTTATTATAACATTATTTTACACACTCATTCAAAAAAAAAAAAACATGCATTTGAAGGTTTGGACAAGTTTGTCAAGAACCGATTGATTTTAATAATTCGGGTTGTTGGAAGATGTTTTACAATAAATCTTATAGTGCATACTAATACGCCGCCTCAAACAAACGTCACGCATAAGGGCTTGAAGTTTGCACAAGTCGGGAATACCATGTGCTTAACAAATGAGGTCGCCAGGATTGAACGGAAGATCTCTCAACCAAAGAAGGCTATGATACTATGTCAAGAACCAATTGATCCCAATAACTTGAGTAGTTAGGAGAGGTTCAATAATAAATCGTATAGCACATACTAACAAAGTTGTCTTATAAAAAAAGTTTGCACAACTCATTCATATGCTTAAATAAACTATAAATATTATGAGAGTGGGGATTGAATTATGAGATTTTTCAATCTAATCCTCTAAATGATGTCTTTATTCCCATGTCTTCCATCCACTTTATCGTCGACTTTGATTTCACGTTTTTGTAATATATATACACGAATCATTATGGATTATAGTTGGAACCCCCGTTTTCGGATCCATCTCACATCAATCATTCGACCCATACCACCTATAGGTAGTTTTAGACAGGTTTTCTTTGAAGTAGATACCTGAATTCACAGGATATATAGCTCATAATAATCTATCTTCCAGGGCATACAATGATTCTTTCGCGATTTGAGGCGTTAATTTACCTACTAAAATATCACCTATCTCGACCCAAGATCCTAACATAACAATTCCATTTTTGTCTAAATTTCGAAGTAAATAGACTTCTAAATGTGATATTTCATTAGTGATCTTTTAAGGTCCTTGACTTTGTGGGCTGAGTCTAGATTTCATATTTTTGTATGTGAAAAAAATAAAAATATCTTCATATACGAGACCATGGTTGTCATGCCGGTGGCATACCACCCGGTTGAACCTGGTTCAACCTGTGCCGGTCATGAAACCGGCATGACACCACCGGTATGACCGGTATGATCGACTTACGTATTCTAAGCAAATTAACATCATTTTAATGAATTTAATTAATATAAAAATTAATTTATCATTCATTTTATGAATTTAATAGTTAAATGTTGATGATATTTGTTGGATTGTAACTTAATTGTCCACAAATATGTTTTATATATGATTAAATACATTGAATATTAATTGTTTTTACACTTCTTTAAACCGGCATGATCCGGCACAAACTGGTTATACCACCGGTCGTACCATTTCACTTGCCAAACCGGCACAACGGTATAAACCGGTTTGACAACCTTGTACGAGACGTTCGCTAATATTACCACCGGTTGCATTTGATATGATGGGAGATAGGAAGAATTTGGCGGACATGAGAATTATCAATTATGTAACTTTACATTGTAATCAACGGAAAAGAAGAAAATACAAAATCATTACCCGAGATAACTTGCTTTTGGCTTTATGGAGGTATAATTAAAGCATTTGGATTAGGAAATGTCAAATTGGTAGCCGCAACCATTACGGCTCTTAAATCTTAACTAAGATTTATATACGGCTCCGTAAATCGATTACCAAATCTAGGATTTTGATTTCTTCTATGTCGTAGCCCTGGATTTGATTCTCTATCTCCTTCTCGATCTTATCAATTAGGAATGAAAAGTTATTGGACGCAATGTTTTGTTGTTTAATAATCCATTGGTTATTTTTGTAATTTCCTATGAAGCCCGGGAACAAATGTTTCAAATTGGGTCCTAGCTTTTACCAGCCCAGTGAGATTATCAGCCAAATTTTGAAACAACGAGTACCAATAAAAAATCTTATTTCGAAACATGTTTTTTCAATTCACCAGCAGATGCATGGTCTGAATCATTATGAATGAAATCAAAAAAAAAAAAAAAAAAATCATTATGAATGGAGCAGCCTGAATTGAGGGAGACCCACTCAAGAGGCTGCCGACTGTTAATCCAGTGGGCTTGGATATGAGGCCCATCCAATATTAAGGCCCAGACCCCCGACTCCTGCATTACATTTACACACAAGACACAACCAGGGCTGTTAACGAACCAAGCTATTTGTGAACGACTCGGTCTCGAATTCGATAAAAGCTCGTTCGATTCAATAAAAGCTCGATTCGTTTATTAACGAGCCGAGCTTGAACTCAACATTGTTCGCTCGTGAGGCTCGTGAACTAGCTCGATTAGGAGGCTTGTTTAGTTCAGCTCATGAGATGTCACAACATTGCAACTAGCGAACCAACTTGATTACGGCTTATGAGAAAATTGATCTATACCTTATGAGTTGGTTTGTTAATGATGCGTATATTTATTAAATTGTATATCACACCTCATGTGATGTTTTATAATTTGAGTATGTGAGCAAATATGTCTAGTGTATGACATGAAAATCAGTTAATCACATATATCATATTTAACATATAAATATTAGGATATTCAATTCATAAATTATCTTAGAGTTGAGCTTGAGCCAAAATTTTTTGATCTTAATGATGAGCCAAAATTCAATAAATGAGTTGGCTCGTGTTCGACTCGACTCAGCACGTTCATAAACGAGTCAAGCTCGAGTTCGGCTCGTTTATAAATGAACCAAACCTGAACAAGGCAAAACTCGGTTCGACTCGGCTCATTAAAAGCCCTACACACAACCATTGTATCTATCTTCCTTCCACCAAGCAGCAACCGACCCATCGATTTGTGACCGTGCGAGCTCAATGGCCATTCCTAAACCTGGATGCATCCAATCTTTGCTCCCAACTTCCACGCAGGATAAATTATGAGAGTTACTAATTAACGCCCTAACTTTTTTAAATTTGTCGCCTTAACTTAAGTAATTTGACGTTTTCCCCCAAATATTCTCAATCTCTAACCAAATTTAGCCCTATGATTTTTTTCCCGTCCCCACCGTTCGCCCTGAGACTGGTCGCCCGTCGTTGCCGCTCGCCCTGGGAGTCGCCGCCGTTCATCCTGGGAGTCGCCGCCCGTGGCCACCGCAACTGCCTTCTCCTCCTGTCCTCTACTCTCTTTCCATCCTCGGGATCATCCCTGCAGATGTTATCTTCTTGGAGCAATACCCTGACCGATGAAGTTGTCTGACGATGATCGAACTTGGGGTTGCCGTGTTCTAATCTTGAATCCAGTAATCACACCAACACCATTGCTAAAGCTGACCGAGTTCTTCAATGGTTAGAAAATTCCAAAAGACGTGCGTGTTGTAGAGTCAGCACCATGAGCAGCAAGCCAACAACTTGCCTCATAAAACAATCTCCGAGGTCAACAACGTTTCCGTTTCCAACTTCCCTATCAAAGAATGGTGTTTGCGTGCCAAAATACCGAATAGACAAATTCATCTGCAAAATTAAACCACAATCACATAGACATTTAACCATATAGGCGGCGGCAGTGGGCAGGGCAGTGGCCGGCCGGGGATGGGCGGAGCAGAGGAAGGGCTAGGCGATGGGCGGAAGAGAGTATAATTAGGAATTTGGGACAGCTCCTGTAGTTTTAGTGATTGAGGGTAGTAACGTCGTTTTAATAAGATTAGGGCGTTAAATAGGAATTCAGTAAATTAATCACCTCACGTGGGAACCCATTTGATAACGGCATCCACCGGTTCGTTCGCCGCTAGCATACGTTCGTCAACACCCGATTCGCGCCCAGCCCGATCCCTCCGAGACTCCAACCTCCGAGACTCCTCTTCCAGACGTTGCTAAGCCGCCCTTTTCGTGCTATTTCGGTCACCTTCTTCGTTCTTCCGACCGCTTCCCACGGCTATTCCAACGAGATCCCTTAATCGTCGTCTCCATTTAGGCATTTACTCCTCCGCTGGCTTTACCGATTCCGATTTCTTTCTCCCCGCGTCCTGTTGGTGATTAGCATGTTGTTGAGCTCTGTCGACGAGCCATGGCATTCTCTGCTTCACTCGGGCTCAGCTTTCCTCTAGTCACTTCTCACCCTTGCTCCCTGGTAAGTCCGCTGTTTGGTTCCCGAGAAAACTTCCGCGATTGGAAAGTGCGATTCGCTCGCTGTTTCGATTTTAGGTTTAACGGAGAAGCGTTTCCGATGACGAAATTGCTGTTTCCTTTCTTTTCTTTCTGGTTTTCAGTTGCTCTCAGGGCAATCCAGCTTGAAGCAGAATAGAGCACGAGGTATTCCGGCTGTGAGGACGAATTCTTGTTTTGTGAAGGCGGCCTTGGATAGCAAGAAGCCGAGCGTCGTCAATGGCTGGAGCGCGGCGGAGTCTGCTAGGAATGTTCTGGAGAGACTGTTCGCTCAGTCGCGGCGGAGGCTTGAAGAACAGTCGAGCAGAGATTCCGATTCCGATTTCTCCTCCAACGGTGCGAATCCGGAGATCTTGGAAGCTGATATCGCCGCCGTGCTGGAAGCTCTGACGAAGAAGGAAGATGACCTTCACTACGCGGAAAGAAAGGTGGAGGTGGAATATGGCGAGCTTGAGCGAGCTAGGAAGGAGTTATCGCGACGGGAAGCGGAAATCGCTGCAGTTTCTGGTAAGTGCGAGATGCTTGAAGCAGAGTTGAAGCAATCGAATCTTGATTTGGCCTCTCAAACTAAGCAGATTGAAGATTTGAGGTTGGAACTCCATGAGAGAGACCGCCAGGTCTCTGCAGCGCGCTCTGCTCTGTCGTTGAAAGAGGACGAGATGGTGAAGATGGAGAAAAAATTGTCGTACAAGAGTCGGAAGTTTGCAAACCTGGACATGGAGTTCCAAACCAAGGGCGACCTGCTTAACATAGCGAATCAAATGATCAATAATCAGGAAACTGAGATTGAAGAACTCAGGAATGCGATTCGGGAGAAAGAGAAAGAGCTGGAAACTTCGGAATCTCTGAGGAAACTCGATCAGGAGAAGCTGAACGCTGCAGAGGAAAATCTGAAGAAGCAGACGATGGAATGGTTGTTGGCAGAGCAGGACTTGAAGAAAATGGCCGCTGAAGAATCGAATGAGCTGGTGGAAAACAACGAAACCCTAGAGCATTACAGAAGGGTCAAGCAGCTTCTTGTTGATGTGAGATCTGAGCTCATCTCTTCACAGAAGTCACTAGCATTCTCCAAAAAGCAAATGGAGGAACGGGAATTGATTCTGAAAAGTCAGCTAGCAGAGCTCGAGGAATATAGATCGGGTCTGGCATCACGTATTACCAGCTTGAGGGATGCCAAAAGAGAAGTGGAGAAGGAGAAGGCACAGCTCGATGTTATTGAGGCAAGGAACAAGGAGTTCCAACGAGACTTTGCATTAGAGAAGGAGATCGTTGAAGAGTTGAGGGTATCACTGAGGAATGAGAAGTCCAGTCTGGAGCAAGCAACCCGGGAGATGTCAATGGTGAGACTGGAACTGGAGAAGCAGAACAAAGATTTTAGAAACTTGCAGGGTGTGCTTCCAGTTAAGGAGTCAGAACTTGCAGAGGCTAAGGTGGAAATCCAGCGTTTGGGATCCGAGAGAGAATCTCTTCTGGTTGCTGTTGAAGAGAAAGATTCACGGCTGGAAACTGCAAAGGAGAAACTAAATGAAGTGAACCACCAGGTTGCAGAGCTAAGGAAGGTGTTAAACAGTAAAGAAACCCAGCTTCATCAAGCAACTGCCAAGCTCAATGAAAAAGAAGAACGCGTGCAGAATATGCAGAATCAGCTGAACGATACCAGGTTGAAAGTAGCCGAAGCAGGATCTGTCGTGGAATGTATGGTGGATCTCACGAATAAACCCGTGCTCTCAGATAGACAGACTATTGATTCCACGATACCAGACAGACAGCTTGAGAGCGAACTCGAGTTTGTTAGGAAGAGCGAACTCGACTTGGTTAGAGAGAGCTTACGGAATAAGGAAATGGAGCTGAAGAAGAGGGATGAGGAACTGAGAAGGCTGAAGGAAGAGATGGTTGTAGATGGTTATGATCTGAAGAAGCTCTATGCATTGGCACTAGAGAGGTTAGGCGAGAAGACCGTGGGCGAGCTAGGAATCGAGAAGTTGCAACTGGAAGCCATGCAGCTAGAAGTGGAAGTTGCAAAGGCAGAATTGCAGAAGCTCACGGAGATGAGCAGACGACTTAACGAGCAAGCCGGGGAGAGTCTCGAAGCTGATACTGATACTGTCCTGAAGGAGATGACTCGTTTCTCAGATCTGACAGATCAGCTGGTGAAAGAGGCTGGCCTCGGTGATAGTAGACGACTTGCTGAGAAAGTCGGAGAGAGTCTCGAACCTGATACTGATATCGGAGGAATCTTCCAAGGTGAAGATACTGTCCTGAAGGAGATGGCTCGTCTCTCGGATCTGACGGATCAGCTGGTGAAAGAGGCTGGCCTTGGTGATAGTGACTGAATAAACTTTGGTTCTGTGCAAAGCAAATAACTGAGACACTTTGCAATTGTACATATGTTGAGCAATGGAGCAGTTTTGTAGTGTGTCTCACAATACGTACTTCAGTATGTGATTTTGCATATGGTAGCCATTTTTTGTTCAACTGGCTCATTCTAGTCCAGATTTGCCATTGAATGCAGTGGTTTGAAACTTCAAATAGATAAGAGGTCTGTCTGTTATTTCTAGGGTTGGCGGTTTGGTTGCTGTCTTTTCGGTTTCAACAGAAACGATTTTACCAGTTTATCGGTTTCCCTTGATGGGTAAAAAATCGATAAGCTGTTAATGGTGTCGTTGAAACAATTTTTTTTTTTTAATAAACGGTTAAATACCAAGAAGCCCTTACACAATTCAATACTCTTTTTTGTTTTTGGTTTTGGTCGGACCAAACCGAGAATGTTTAAGCTAACCGAAAAAGGAAAACCCTTAACGGTTTCAATTTTAGACAATTGACTAATTCGGATTTCAGTTTGGTCAACCTAACCAAATTGCCACCCTAGTTATTTCTAGCTAGTTAATTGAGAGAGAAAGTAAAGGATAAAAGCAAGAAAGTAGAATATCAGGAATATTGGAGACATAGAAAGTGGAGGTAAATGATAAGAGCCAATCCAATAATTTAGCGGTAGGAGGAGAAAGCGGAGAACCAGAAAACTGTACAAGCGGAAGTGCTTGTTAAGCACCAGATAAATATCAACAGTAGGACCAAAAGTATGCTAAGCTAAGAGGTTGCAAGTACAAGTAGAACAAACAAGTTCTGGCCGTCGGAAGAATCATGGTTTACCGAGAAGAACCTGAGAGAATATGTGTCACCTGGCGAGGAAGCCATTTGGAGTTGCTGCTGCTGCGGACATTAACACTGGATGGTCCTTCCCCATTCTGAGGATTGCCTACGATCACACGGCATTCTCCCTTCTTCGCCTTCGACCTTCTGCCGATGCAAAATCCAAACTTCATGGCTGTAAACAGTCCCAATGCTACCAGGAGAGGCCTCACAGCCCAGTGGAAGTCCTCAAGGTGCTGGTACTTCCTCACTATGCCATGGCAGTTGCTGAAAGAAACAGTTTCCACTTCAGCTGGATCGGCATGGCACATGGCCTTTTCCTCTCGACCGAAAGCCAGCCTTCCTGGAAACTTCACCACCAGGCAGCCATTGGGAAGAATCCACCGGATCTTCCCCGTAGCCCAGGCACCACTAGTGGTACCACGAAGCCATTCGAATTTCGGACTTAAAACATTTGCTTTCAGCCTCACAAACTGGCCAACAAAGTAGGATTCCGCCATCTGAAGCTGCGAGGAATTCCCCTTCCAGAAAGTGTCCAGTCCTATAAAGCCAACAGATACGCTGCCATCCCGGGATATTGAATGCATAATACCCACCGAGGAGTGGTGGTTCATTTCTCCTTCCTTGAGTCGAACCCAATCACCAGCAGCGAAACCAAAGCTGACGCGCTCCAAGGCTGAACTCGGAACCCTCAGAGGGTCGTGGATGCCGTGCACTCTAACCAGCATGAACCCATCTTGTTCTGTACCCACCACTGTTCCTTCAGGGACCTTCATATTTTCTGGTTTACATGAGTAGCCTGGCTTGCGAGATCTCACGATGTCTCCTATTTGAAGGTGATCTTTTGAGATGGACCAATCTTTGTAGCAAGTGCCACTTGATGAATCTCCTGAGATTATTATGCTCTCCAGTCCAGTCCAACCATCATCACCATGCACCGCATTTCGAGAACTGCAAGAGGGTTTTATCGTTGAAAGTGTTAACGTTATCACTATCATTTCATACAAAAATGAAAGAGAGTCAACAGAGAACTTGCCTTCTGAAAACATGTAGTATGTCGGTCATCAAAGGACGATTCCTGAAATCATACTCGAAGCAGCCACGGAGAACATTCTCAACTGGAGGAGGAAGGCCCTCAGGGATGGTGGGTTTCTTATGCTTCTTAACCACCAAATCATAAATTTCTTCAACGGATTTTCCACACCATGGTTGAACACCTGTCAGCATCTCCACAATGCTGCATCCAAACCCCCAAGAGTCTGTCTCTAGCGATAAAGGACCTCTTACTTCTGGTTGCCACTGTTCAGGAGCCATGTAATTAGGTGTCCCAAGCCGGCGACACATATCTGAGCTAGACGATGGGATTCCAAGAAGCATATAAGGAATCCCCATGTCGCCAAGAACCGCTTCATCATTTTCATCGATGAGGAAATTCGAAGGCTTGACATTAAGTACTAGGACATCTTTGGCATGAAGCTCTGTGATCCCATGAGCTAAATGCATGCCATACCTGCAAGCAATCAAGCATAAACTCATATGTTCCGGTAGATGCTGGCATTAAGCTGGGAAGATTGACTGGAAGGATTGGATTCAGCTTACCTTAAAACATCACGTAATGGAAGCGTCCCTCCTTTACGGAAAGCTAATTTGTCTCCAACAGACCCTTCATAGAACCTCATAACCAAGCATATCTACGAAACAATGCAGAAGCAGGATAAGTTATTCATCAGCCAAACAATACCAGAACAAGAAACAAACCACTAGTGTTCTCACTTTTCCATTTAGAACCGAAATTCCACGCAGTGAAGCCACTCCCTGCAACCCTTCGTGTTTCAGGAACAAGTCATTGAAGTTATCCAGCAAAGTTCTCATGTGATGCTCCTTCACCGGGTACAGCATCTTGACAGCAATTTCATGGTACTGATCATAATCTTCACCAGATTGATGAAGGGTAGCCAACCAAACATCACCAAACGGCCCCCTCCCAATTCTCTGCCGGAGTTTCAAACTCCCAGGCTCGATCCAAGGAGTTGACCGGCTCGCCGAGACCACCACAGTCCTAAGGTGGTCTGGATCACCTTCGTAGAGCTCATACTCAAAAGACACAGGCTGAGCAGGAACGACTTTTCCAGCCATTCTCTCTGCGCCATCCAGCAAAAACACATACATTCACACACCAAATCGCCTTTAGGGAACAAGATCACAAAATTCAAGCTTCCAATCCATTATCCAGTTCAAATATACACCAAATCAGCACATAACGAAACGCTTGGGTTTTCCCCCAGCGGAGCAGAATATTCCCAGCAACCAATCGGTCCAACAAACACAGCACACGATGATGAGAGCACGATAATCAGCAGTAACAGGAAGTAAGTATGGAGGCGGAAATTCAAAGGAGAATTGTGAATTCCTTACCTGATCAGGGAAGCTGAGAGACGGAGGAGAAGGAAGCTCGACGAATTGGAGGGGCCCGGGGAAGCAGAGAAACTGAGACCGATTTTACGGCAGGGAATTTGAAGAAGCTACGTCAAGAGAAGGAGAAGAAGACGAAGTCGAGCGGGAGAGAGGGAGAAGTGGAGTTGGAAATAATGACGGGCAGCTGAACTGAGTTTTCAACTGGAGGGAGATGCTACGGTGCGATGGGGTGCAGGATATGGAAGAGCCGAAGAAGGATGGACACTGGTTGGTCGTTTTGGTCAAACGACAACGTTCCCGATTTACTTTTTCTGTTATAGAGTGGCAAGATTAGGATTTAGGAGTGTTCAATCAGATTGGTTACCGTGAACTGAGTTTTCAACTGGAGGGAGATGCTACGATCCGATGGGGTGCAGGATATGGAAGAGCCGAAGAAGGATGGACACTAGTTGGTCGTTTTGGTCAAACGACAACGTTCCCGATTTACTTTTTCTGTTATAGAGTGGCAAGATTAGGATTTACGGTGTTCAAACGGATTGGTTACCGTGGTAACCATATTAACCAGTAGCATTCGGTTCATTTGTATAATTGGTTTGGTTTGGTTAAACAATTTACCTTATTTGGTTTAGGTGGTTTGGTTTGGTTTCAACGTTGCTAACCAATGAAACCAATTAACCAATTAATGATACACCTAATATAAAAATTATTTATACTTCCATGCAACCAACCAAACTAAACCTTCGTGATTTCCTAATTTATTTCATGTGCACAACAAACCAAAACATTATGGGTAAAAAATTAAACGGGTCTGCCTATTTACTAAACCAAAACATTTTGGACGACTACTAGACTTTAGGATTACGTACAATATCATGACAGTCACCTCAAACTATGTATAGTTTAAGTTTTTTGTATGAGAGCTTTAACTTCGTGATGAGGGGTATTGGTATGCATTTATGTTAAGGGGTTTGTTGTAAGCTAATTATATTAGGTGCAGAGATGATGAATGATGTATTAACTCTAAGTCTCGAATGATGATGATAATCATGAATGATTAGTCTTATTATTATTGCTTATACATAATTATAGTTTATGATAGTAACAACATATGGTTATGTTTTATTCATTTACAGGAAAATTGCTTTCATGTAATGTTATGTTATTTGGTTAATTCGATTATCTGATTAACCAAATCAATTTAACTTTGGTTTGGTTAATTTGGTTTCCGTGTTAATTTGGACGGTTTGGTCAATAAATTTTATTCCATGATTAATAAAATTTAGCCTTAATTGATTTGGTTATTACAACAGTAACCATTTGAACACCCTTTCCTCACGTTGGTGTTTTGCGCAAACCCCATTAATTAAGAATTTTGGTTCACGTTCTCTCATATTATCTATTTGTTTGAGGGTGGTCAGTGGTGTTGAGTATCATGTAAAACTACAAGGAAAGGAGGGGGATTATTTTTTTATAAACTTTGACGTAAAATTCTGGTGATAAAAATTTGGAATATGTTGGGAATGCTGGTGAAGTTGTGATAAATTTGCTTGTGATATATGTCCTATTGTTGTGGCCAATAGAGCTTTCTAAGGTAAGCAATATATTTTTTACCAGAAGGTTATTATTTGATTCTACACTAAGATCGATTACTTCAAATTACATTTTTTGGTGGTTAGTTTTCAACTTTCATTGTAAAATCGGCCAACTAATTTCACCCCCCAACCCAACTATGTATTTACTATTTAGGATGTTGACTTCTCCAAGATCCTTATTATTATGCAAAACGGGTAAATGTCACATTTGGTAACTGAGATTATTAAATCATGTCATTTTTAGTCACTAGAAAAAATTAATATAAATTTTGGTCACTTGATTACTGAAACATGTCACATTTAGCCACTCTCCCGTTAGTTTCCGTTCAACTCCGTTAATGGAGTTGGACGGAGGCTAACGGAGAGTGACTAAATGTTTTAGTAATTTGAGTGACATTCATTAAAAAAAGTAATTCGAGTGACCGGAGTTGAACGGAGACTAATGAGTAAGTGATTAAATGTAACATGTTTTAGTAATTCGAATGACCAAAATTGATATTAATTTTTTCTATTCATTTGTAATTCTATCCCAAAACTCAAACTAACCGTCTCCATCGGTGGGGACAAGTTACCATTATAGAATGATTAAGATTTTGGTGGGAACGCTCATATCATCTACTCGTTAAGTAATCACAGCTATATTATGAATGTTATGAATATCAAGGGTTTAATTCCCCACCCGATGGTTCTTATAAATAGCGCTGGAAGTTGGTACCGTATTTGCGATATATCGAATATCCTACCGAATTTTTCTATATTTGGTATTATCGAATATACGTATTATTTCGTGAGATTGAGATTGAATTTCAATTGTTATTTGGTATTATGGATTATGAGATTGGGATCGGTATATACCGAAATGCCGATCAATACGGAAATATGAACTAGTGTGTATTTTATCCTCTCAACTAGACTCTCTCATTCACTACTACGCGACCATCAACCACCAAAAGTGTCATTTAATAATACAAAGATCATTACATCACTATTTCACACTAGTATTAGTCGTCTCTCAACCTCAAATTTGTAAAATTAAAGATTACCAATTACAAGAACTTGAGATGTTAGCTCTAGGCAACTCAAGACTATTTGCTTAGTCTCTTTGCCCTAAATTAAAATATAAAATCTAGTTTATATATTTAATTATTAATTGCAAAGGTAATTAATTATGTATTCGATAATACCGATTGGGATACCGAGGTACCGACTGGAATACCGAAATTATTTAGGGACTGGGATTGAGATTGATTTTAGGGTGTAATTCGATATTCGGGATTTCGATATTTGGTATTGAGATACTGATATCGTACTTATTTCCACCCCTACTTATGAACATGATAAAGATTTTGGTATCTATGTGTCAAAAGGAATTTAAAAATTGATATTGAGGAAAATTTTCTAAGTCTCGCCAATTATTCATTAATTCATATTCTAAAAAGAGTCAAATTGAGGAACTTATTTGTTAAAATCGATGATTAAACTAGTTAATTTTATCCAAGCATCGATAGAAACTAATTAAACTAGAAGTATATAGCATCATAGGCAAGACCGATTAATACGAATTATATGGTGGATTAATGACCACCTTATGGACAAAAATAAAACCTTTAGGGGTTGTTTGCTTGAGTTATTTGTAGGAGTCATTTGGTATCAAATGACTCAATTGAGTAATTTGATGTCAAATGACTCGTTTGCTAAAGAAAAAACGCATGAGTAATTTCGTCCATACGAATGTCCCAAATGACTCATTATTTAGTCCAAATATTCCAACTATGTCCTCACCTATTTTATAAACCCACTTCTATCCTTCTCTTTCTATTATTTTGTTTTCTATGTCATTGGTCCGTCTCCTCACACAATTATTTTTTCTTTTCCCCCAAATTTCATTAGCAACGAAGAGGATCATCTACCTAAAAGTGAATCATTTTCGTTCACAAACCCTACCATTTGTAATTAGTTTGAAATTCAAGACTTATGGAGGCGTTATCTTTCATAAGAAAACTTAATATATAATTATTATTTAAAGTTAGAAAGTAGTATTATAATGGAAAACACTCAAATAATATGTTTTGTTGGTTGCAAAATGATTTTTGTTTATGTGAGAGGTTTTTATAGGAATAGGAAACAAAATGAGCGAATATATTAATTGTAAGGGCAAAATGATAAAATTATACAAATGACTCATCTAAAACCTTTTAAATAAACAATGCATTTGTAATGCCTACATTCCCAAATGTCTACATTTCTCAAATGCCTACATTTAGGCTAATGACTCGATTTGAAAATGACTCATGCAAACACCCCCTTAAGGGTGCATAAACTCATCTGTCATAAAGCAAATGGTTTCAATAATTCAAGTTATTGGTACTTGGTAGACATCCATGTATGGTACTTAACCACTTCATTACGCGCCTCTCAATGAAAATTACTCATGGGCTTGAAGTTTACCATGTGCTTTAGGACAACAATTAATATTGTGAGTTCTTAAGTTTTGAACACGTGACCTATGGACAAACCCGCTCTGATATCATGTCATAAACAAACTAATCCCAATAATTCAAACTATTGTAAGAGATACATGTATAATACCATTTTCGTACGACTGATGTACGCTAGCCTGAACCATATAATATATATATCATTAATTGACATTGAGTATCATCACATCTCAAACACATCTGAGCAAAAGTTTAGACGATTTGTCCTAATAAACCATTTCGTTTCTTTGAGGACAATCATCAAACACAAAGCATGCAACATCAAGTTAGCCTCACTCATAAGTAAACACAGTCAAACCATTCACACTGATTCCTAACTAGAAACCTAAACATGGTCATACCAATATGATCAATTTGTTTCTCCTACTACTACATCACCCATTTCCATTCACAGATTGAGTGAAGCTTCAAAAAAACAACAACAACAACAAAGCCTGATCGATTAAAACCCTAATCAACCATCCCCAAAAACGCAAGTCGATTCAAAATCCGACTTACCTTCACCTCCGACCTCCCGTCCCCTTTCCAATTCGTTTCCATCTTCAATTCAGAGCTCCCAAGCTCGCAGATCTCTCCCAATCCGAAACGAAACGTAAGCATCAACACAAGCTTGCATAACCTGATCGCGCCCAAGATCCCTTCTCCCCCAATCGCTCAGACTAATTTCCTTCTCCAATCTCACCCCTTCGTAACCCAGCATCTCCCTCACAATTTCCTCCGCCGACGCCCCTCTCAGGCTCCTCCCGTCGTCGGCCTCCGCGTACTTCCTCAGATCCAGGAGATCGTGGATGCCAACCACGTGCTCCGACTCGTACAGCTTCCGCTGGTCGGAGCCGTTCCACAGCCCGACGAAGGTGTTGCCCGTGTGGTAGAGGAATTTTCGCAGGGAGAGCGGAACCCTATCGGCGCGGTAGAGCTGGAAGATCAGGCAGCGGGTGCCGACGCAGAGGTGGAGGGTTTGGGCCGGTGAGCTGGAGCCGTGGAATGCGGTCCACTGGACGCCGGTCCCGACGACCATGGGCTCGCGGCGGCGGCGGTGGAAGAAGACGGTCTTCCGGACCCATTTGCTGACGGCGGAAGGGTTTGAAGTGACGGTGACGGAAATGGGGGTGCCGAAGAAGGTGACGGTGTAGAGACGGAACTTGGTGGATCCGGTGTAAGCTCCCTCGATCGTGATCTCGCCGTCGTCCGCCATGGATGTTCTCCGGAAAAAAAGTTGGTAGTTGAGAGGCAAGAGATTAGAGAGAACGAACAGAGCGGTAGCGCTTCTCCCTATGTTGATCTGACGTTTACTTGCTTGCTTGGCTTTGCAATTCTGCTTTTTCACTTCATCCCGCTGACCCTGTGAGTCACTGAGTGACGACTGACGAGGTAAATTACAGAACGGTCACTAGGATTAGGATAGGATTTACCGTTGGAAATTAATTCTAATTTTTTTACACTTTTTGTATTTCCAAAAGTTTTGCATCTACAGGCCGAGAGTAGATCAGGCCGGCCCATTTAATGACCCATATATTATGTACTCGGGAGGAAGTGGACCATCATACTTCTAATTTTTCTGATTTTACTGTTACAGCCAGATTGTAGCCCGGCCTAGTTTATCCAATAATAAAGTGATCCACGTCTTCGATGGAATTCAACCCTATAACTAAAATTTCAAGTGATTTGGTAAATAAATAACGTAGAATTTATGTATTTGATGGGTTTGCTTTGTAAGATTAAGTACATTGTTTGGGTTACATGAATTAATGGTGGGACCCACATAATTTCTTAAATTACATGGTGCATCAATATTACGATTTAAGAAAAATAATAAAATGTTAGATATTATATCATGTAATTTGATAATTGGGTAGATTACTTGATTGCCAAATGACCACTCAGATAGTGATAACATAATTTTTTCCCTTGTAATTAATCACTTTTTTGGAATATCCATCAAAATAGCGAGTTTTTTATATCATTTATTGTCAACTACTTTACATAATAACCACACATCAAATTATATAAGTATCACATTATATCAAATTAAGTTGATCTATTAGTAATGTGATCGAACAATCACACATAGTTTAGTTCGGCTCGATGGGCCATGGATCAAGGGTCCATCGGTTGAATCATAATGTACTTGATTCACTTGACTTGGTTGAGTATTTTTGTTGAATATATTTAGTGTAAAATATGCAATTAGTGTGTGCGATACACAATTTTCACGGAAAATACTGAAGTTCAAAATTTCAAACTTCAAAACCATAACTCTCCCTCTCCAAGCACCCATTTCTTTACTTCCAAATATAATCTACATCTATTCTTCTTACGTTGGTCACTGAGATTGCATAGTTGCCACGTCGTAAATTTAACGATCAACTATGCGAGTTGACTGTCACATCAGACAAAATTAACAGAGTTGAACGGAGAGTGATCAAACTTGAATTGTTTTACTAAATCTAATGACTATAAATGGATTTAAATATTTCAAATGATAAAAAATAAACGTTTTTCGTAATCTCAGTGACCAGCCATGCAATTAACCCATTCTTTTTGGGTTTATCTCTCTGTCTTTTCCCCTATTGATTTCGATTCATCTCGTTTTCCTCCGAGCCTGCCCACAAAAAAACTCGACGGGGAGAAGCAGGACACCACTCAAGCTCACAAATTGGTATAGCAATTCTGGTCAGCTGAATGAGAATGATGAAGCCAAAGCCAAGATTTAGAGTGAGTAGAAGGGTAGATGTTGAACTTAGGATACATGGATTAGCTCGTTGAAAGGTGAAGCAGAAGATGGGACAGGGACGAGCTAATCCCTGCATCCACAAATTCAAATCTTGTCCTACCCTGTTCACAGAGCTAATGGAACCCCATCCATGGATGCATACCTTATTCCCTTGACACAACTGATTCATCACATTATATAGGGCAACTTACAGAGAAACAGTCTAGAGAAGGATAGAAAAAGAGTATTGATTCATACAATTGGAACTTGTGGGGATCTTAGCGAAACCTAAAATCATCAGATTATGATTTGACATACCCAGGAATGACCTTCTTTACAATATCATCACTGAGAGCGCCAATCTGGGCATCCAGCGACACGATCGTCTCTTCCTTCTGCTTCTCCAGCTTCGCCAGCGCCTCCTGGAGCTCCCCCTCCACCTTCTTCCTCCCTTCCTTGAGCTTCTCCTCCAGCTCATCCTGGATCTCCTTCTTCATCTTGTTCAGCGACGCCGATATCTCCGCCCTCGCCGCCCTCATCACCGCCGCCGCCTGCTCCTCCAGCTGCTTCACCTCCGTCGAAGTGTCCTTCACGCTGTTCAGCTTCTCCTTGATGGCGGCGTCCCTCTGGTCCATGAACTTCCCGAGCGGGGAGTAGTAGACCTTGTCGAGCCCGACCATGAGGAGCAGGAACTGCGCCATCATGATGGGGAGGGTGAGGTCGAAGTCGAACAGAGCGGCCTTCTCGATCTCCACTGCCAGAGACGGCGGAGCTAATGCGGCGGCGGAGAGGGAGATTGTGGCTAGGAGGGAGGCCGGTTTGAAGGCGGAGATGATTAGGGATTGGGCCGATTTGTTGGTGGTGGTGCTGTTGACTGGGAGGGAGATTTTGGGGAGTTTTGGCTTGGCCGCGGCGGCGACGGTGGGGGGAGGAGAGAAGAGCAAGGGCTTGGAGGAGGCCATGATCATGTTAGCCATGGCGGATTGCCGGAGGAGACACCGATTGGCCGGAGAAGAAATTGGGTTGTTTCTGTGGAGTGTAAGAATCGGAGAGGGGATTGTTTTTGATTTCTCTGATCTTTTGTGTGGAAATGTGGAGGGGAGAGAGGGAGATAGGCAAAGGGCTATCTCGTTTGTCCGCCACACGATTTTTTGAGGAGAGGCTTCTTCGGCTTCTCTCATGAGCCATGGGCCCGCCTAAGATGGAAGCCCGGCCCATTCTTTAAAACCTGGAGACTGTAGGTGGATGTAAATTGTAAACAATGTTACACAACTCGAGTCTCGTAGTATAATATATTAATATCGCGTTAAAACGTTGTATGAGATGAATAATTTACTCTATAGATTGATCCCATAGTCTAAGCAAGTTGAAGCCGCTTATTTTCGTTGTTCTATATTTAACATGAAAATTTGATAAGTCATTGACATTCTCAAATTGACATAAAAAAGGCATGAACTTTACAAGTTCACAATTTTTTCTTTCAGTAACGAGAGAGTGTAATTATCGACATGCTGAATTCATCTGCAAGACCATTTTCTATGCCATTGCAATTGAGAGATGCTACTTACTACCATTTATCACTGATCGATTTTTTGAGGTCAGGGCCTAAGAGATCAAGGAATACTTTCACCATTGTAGTCCCAAAATAGGTGATTACAAGTTTACAACAAACAGGGTCAATGTATGAACTGTGGTCACTATAAACACCACAAAGAAAGGAGCAAAAAAAGAAGTCCTTCCTACATGGACTAATCACCACAAACCATTTCCCCTCTGGCTTCTTATTTCTGTCCAAAATTTACTCGAAGAACATGGCTTTCTATACACCTCTGAAAAGCTATATAAGGAACTGTTCAAATGTAAACCCCTCCAAAGGGGTTATATAGACTGGTCATGGTTTAGTATTACTGGGGGGGGGGGGGGGGGGACTTGTGTTTGTTAACACCGACTCCCACAAAACTGGACGACGTTTTTGATCCCGCTGAAGAAGCCACATCCGTATCTCGAGTGAGATACCTTGAACTTCCTCTTCTTCTCCCTTGGAGACAGCCTTGAGTAAGGGAACCATGGACTCATTAAGCTCGTGTGGTCGGTGACTTCTTGAAGTTCAATCATCCCCAGATCGCTGTCGTCCTTGTGCACATACGTTCCGTTCTCCATTTCACTGAAACAGTCATCATCGTCAGCATTAAGCTCTATTTCTGCAGCAGCAGCTCTTCTTGGTGCTGTTAGTGAACTGAAGATTAACCCCCACCGAAGTAAAAACATCAATTAGCCCAATACCTTTAACAAATGTTTTCTCAAGTGTGTGAATTCCACTATCTTAACCCACTACCCTAACTAATAACTATATGACTATTCTCAGAATGCCCGTTTAGATTCTAACGATTTGAGTTTCGTATCAATGCAGCTTGATCAAGCATGGACCGGAACTAGTTTTTAGACTACACACAATCTAAAACCAGACAGATACTGACATATAATCAAATGACAAAGGAAGTTCAACGAAGGAGGGTAAAGAGCATACATTTTGTTTCTTTCTGAAGTTAAGACCCTTTTAAATGACCCCTTCTTTGTGAAGCTGTTGCTGGTTGTTGAGAGATGCCGGATGAATTGGAGCTGCAGATTTGACAAAATAAGAGTTACCATCAAGAATTCTGAAGCAGGCATGCATGCCAAGCAATCATATCCAGGAGAACCACACAAAAGCTGCATTCTACAAATATCTAAGTATATCATGAATCTGATTTGGGCATCCTGCTTTCACACCGATTCCTGAAATCTAAACAGGCGACAACAGATGGACGCATTCACATGCAAATCACTGCTACTCAACAGCTCAAAAAAGCATCCATCCTTCCCCCCCTATTTGGATCATACAAGTACCATTTCCAAACCAAACATTCTGCATTGAAGAACCAGTTGAAATCACAATCACACATACAATCATCGAGGCAATATGCAACAGAACCTCTGTCTTTATCATGATATATGTTCACTCATAATATGGAATGAACCAGAAGCATAACTTCGAAGTGGAAATGGTACGAAATCTGACATGCCCTTATCAAGTGTTTCATGACAAGACTCTCAATGGTCACTCCGTGCACGTACAAATCAGAATATACAATCATTTCTTCCAAACTTGTCAATTCAAAGAACTCCAGTGTTTCAGCATTTAATGAACATGGAAAATCGAAGAGTACCAACACAAACACCAGCAACAGAAACGTCATGTAATTATCTCCAAGGGAACAGAAAGTCAATAGGGTCACAAACCTGATCACCTTCCCTTATCCCAAAATAGCTGATGGAGTCAGCTTCAGAGAGCAGCTTCTGGCCATGAAAACCTAAGCAGAAATGCCCCCACACATGCGGCCTGCATTAAACATACCATTTAGAAACCGGCGTTGAGGAGATCCATCATCCATCCATTGAAGATACCAATTCTATGCTTCAGTTCTCAGGTAAAATGTGGTAAACAAGGAAATTTAACTGTAACAAAGGAGAAGAGAAATGGTAATGAACAACATACCACGAGATCTTGCCTGGCCCCTTCTGCGGCATGTAGCTGAAGGCAGCCTCCACCGCCTGCTTCAATTCACCAACCGTAGCAGAATGCTTTACTTCTATATCTGCAGGCGCAAAAAAAATCAAATCCAATCTCTCCTCAAGAACAAATTCGAGCTAGTAGGTTTCGAAGAAGGGGGAATTTACCGAAGCAGGAGCCGTCGAGCTTGAGAACAGAGAGCGTAATAGGTCTCGCCGGAAGCTTACTGTACGAGAAGCTTCCCTGATCGGAGAAGCCATACAGGGAAAGGAACGGCAAGGAATTCGACCGGCGGTGAATAAACTCCGGGCCTGGACGAACGTCAATAGTGCCAAGGTCAATCCTCGTGTCAACGAGACTCATTATTTCTGACGGAATTCTGCACCCTGCGATATCGGCGAGCGGCTATGCAGCGGAGCTCCCAAACTCCTGGAGAGAAATGATAGTGAAGACGCGCGGGAAAATGGAGAAGATGAGGGTTGAATTGCAGTGTGTGTGACACAAAACAACAGAGGAGAAGCCGAGAATTAGGGTTTCGGAGCTCTGTTCGATTCTTCTTTATCATTCCTATCCTTTCTTTTCCTTTTGTTATCTCCGCAACTGAAATAGAGAGCTGTTGCCATGGCAAGAATTTGGGGAGGAGAGAGAGAGAGAAAGAATTGCTTAGCTTGTTTTCTGGATCTGCTCGGAAGGGACGACAGTTGGTGGAGGGAAGGGGGTAACGGTTTTTGCGACGGTTGACCAGTTCATCGTTATTTCTTCTCCTTTTCCAAACTCCCGCTGACTTTTTGACTTTTGAGAGGCACAAGCACAAGAAAAACAGCTCTTTCAGAGATTTATTTCCCGTTACTAGTTTGTTCGGTCCAAATATATCCCCGTAACAAAACTTGTTTTGCCGTTTGTCAATTTCTAACAACATAGCCAAAACGATAAAAGGGCAAGAAGAAAATACGTGGTCATGGGGATGTATAAGATAGTGAAGTGTCGATTTATATCGAAGATAGATCATGTCGGATCATTCAACTTTCAAAACCGGCACACCGGCATAAACCGGTTTGACAACCTTGTACACAACACTCTGGTATATGGATCTAGTTCGCGGATCGGTACATACCACCATGACAAGAACCTTTGGTTGCTTCTTTGGATCAGAAGTGAATGGATAGTTGGTGTAGTGCTGGTTTTATTTTGGGATACAAGAGATTTTCGAAGTAGAATTGTGATGAAACGAATTTGAAAAACCAAGAGTCTTCATCGTACACTAAACGAAGAAAGATCCGACAACTAGAAGTCGTGCACGGTGACAGAGAAATCATCATAGTCAACATTTGAAAATAGCATCTACAGAGATCAGCCTGAGAGCACCACTGGGTTTGAAAGAACCAAGCTTCCACTATATAACAAAAATATCAGTATGCAAAAACCAACGACAGCTCAACTCTTAACCATTAACATTCATAACTGCCTTGCGCAGCAATGTACAAAATACCTATGATGGAATGGAATCGATAACCTTTCTAAACAAGGGGGGAAACTAGCAGAGAAACCTGGAGGATCAGCATTCAGCAGTACGAGTAGAAAGCCAAAATTTGGAAGGATGCATGACCCGTTATACATGCCACTATTCCCAGTCATTAGGCGAGCGGCCTCCAATGGAACTTTCTGCAGTCAGGACTCAGTCAGATGTAACTTGTAAGCCCGAATAAGGTCAGTTGCTATAACACACGAAAAGCCAGAACCCAGAGAACCGGCCTTCGAGTAGTAGATATCTTCTACCAATCTGTTAAGCTGTCTTGCTGAGAATACAAAGGAGTAATGTGACTCGAGTATCAGAGGCAGTTCAACCGACTTCCAATAAGTGAATTGTTGTTCACCTTGCAGTGGTGGTTAAAACGACTTAGTTATCTCCCTTTCAGCTTGAAGTAAGCATACAACCCAGAGCCGAAGAAACCAAGGAATTGGCCAAGAATATTAAACTGCACGGCAGTAAATAAACATGCACAAATTATTAGTATCTCTCATAGCAGACAGCAAGAAATGAGTAAAGAGTTGCAAGACTTACAATGTCGAAAGGGAGTCCGCCAAATACTGCCCAACCAATCCCAATAGTGAAGAAATCCTGGTATAGCAGAATTCATTGTGAGACAAACAATTTCCACAGGTTTTGGTGATCAGCAAAGGTGAAGGACCATTCAAAAGAATGACGGCATGTTTTTGAACTACAGAGACTTTATTCTGGCACAACTTTGATAATAGCTGATAAAAGACAACATTTTGACCTCATAACACATTCAAACCAACCTCGTGCATCTGGAATATTGTCAGCGACATACATTTTGGCATGCTAAAAATTCGAAAGTTCTATCCGGAAGACTGTATGTACTCCCAAAACGAGTAGTTAATATCTAATTAAAGTTGGTCAAATTCAATTTGTAAGAAATCTACATTTGCATGCTTCTTAGTCTTCCTGAAATATTATCAATTCTACTAGCTACCCAATGAGCTGCAGGCAGGAGACTGACCGAAATACCAACAAGGATAAAAAGAGAAGTAACAAAAAGGGGGCAAAGACGAATAAATGAATCATGTTAACAAACCTTGAGATTGCCACAAATTGTCTGTGTCAGCGCTGAATTGAGTGTTGTATTCAGAAAAATGCTGTAATTCAAGAAGAATGCCAGTACGCAAGAAAGAACCATCACAGCCTGAAAAAGGGAAGGATCATGCTTGTCAAAAGTCAAAACCACCAACAACACATTATCAGTGTAGAGCCCTTAAATATTATATAACTGAAAACTACAGTAACTAACTTTGCTATGATCATATTTAAATGATCGGAACCATGCACAATTAACACACGAAACAAAAGTGAAATATTTGATATCACAGGTTTTCTCAAGCAACCTAAGCGAATACGACGCAAGACTTTTAGGCACTTACAGCAGGACAATTCAAAAAAACAATATGCACCTGTAACTAGACAACTAAAGGTGCCAATTTGATCAAAGATCGAAACACACTGACTTAGTTAAATGAATACATAATTTTATACTTAATTCTGGAAATTTGTATCAAAAGACGAGGAAGACTGCTAGTTTGGCATGACACTGTAACAGAAGCACAACATACCACAAAACCAGGTGAAAAAAGATCAGGGAAATGCATTGTCGTCACCAAGTCCCCACGTATAAATGTCCAAAACAGGAGAACAGGTCCACATATAACTCCTGTCATGGGGAAGAAAATCACGTTATCATTGTTCAGTAAAGCGTCAAAAGAATGAAGGAAGTTAAAATCAATTAACTGATGAACACTGGAAACCATAATCTGTCAAACTTACCATTGCACCACATAAGTCCAAAGCTATTGAGGCCAGTAGACTTTCCTGGCAAAAAGAAGATGTTGCAAACCATACAATGCGACACATGTTAGGTTTACTGAAGGAACATTTCAGACACTGAAGACAACCGACAAATGTGAAACTATAAGAGAAGAGTTCAAGAGTGAAACCAATGCGGCTTATGGTTGCAAGATATATGGCTGTCGTGATATTGGCCAAGAAGACAATAGCATATCCATAGAAGTCAAACGATAAGTCCCGTGCCCCAGCAATAACAGCACCAAAAACTATCAACCCCACACTGAACAACAACATCCTTACATTGTTTCAGTTCAAGGAGCAAACAAACCAACACTCTGCACCAGAAATAAAATTCAACTAACCTTCCAACAATCGGAGATGTGTATCTCTGGCCAGCAAGAAAGTACTCCATGATCATTGTAAATACTACCGTAGTCCTCCTCAGAGTAGTGTACATGGGAACATTAACTCCACGCACCGACTCCATTGTAACTAGCTTTCGGTAGGAAAAGGGAAAAACAAGCAAAGCATTACTTCCAAGACTAAGGGAGGCTAAGTTTTCGTTCGTACAGATGATCATGGATCATTACCATGTAAAGCAAGTAGGCAATCGACAGAGGAAGAGTATGCAGCAACGTCTCCAATGGCACAAAAGTAACACTGCCACTATCAGAAGTAGTCATAGATTCAGCTGCACTGAAGGATATAATCCTCAATCTCCTTAAAGCATACAGGAACGAGCATGACGATATCATCTACAAAGAAGGTATAATAAGAACAGTATGAGTACAGTAAAAGCACCATAAAACTAATAACTCCGCAGACATCAGTTCCACCTCAGAAGCACTCCAAAACCAGATAGGATTGAATTAATCTCTCCATGATCAAGTGGGTTTGCTGAATTCAAGCTAAACAGTCCAAGGTTGAGAAGAAACCATCCCAACCATGAAGATCACTTATCATACCTGAAAGAGTGTTATGACATTGGCACTTGGAAAGCTGTACGAAGAGAGGGCCGCTTTGTTGAACATTACAAGAAGAACTGCAAGTCCAAAAGCACAAAGGAAAAATCAAAATTTGGGGAATCAAAGCTTTTAGACCTAAAAAGAAAGGAACAGGCTGAAATTCGCAGAAATTACGAAGTTGGATTCACAAATTACCGGCACAAGCCATGTACGAGATGGCAGCGTAAGCGCCTCGTTTGGTCATGGCGGAGCCTCTAAAGAATTTCTCCTTCTCGTCTCCTTTGATGAGCTTCTCTTTCTCTTCGTCGCCGGGAGAGACCGAAACCGGGAGCAGCGGATTGCCGGGAGAACCACCGGACGACATTTTTGGCAATCTTATCTGTTCGGCTAACCAATGAATTGAAGGAATCGCCGAGTTATTTAAACAGAAGAGAATTTGCCGGCGGCGAGGGATGGGGTCTTGTGGTGGATTGGTCAAACTTGCTCCGGTAATCGGCGGATCGGAAAGACAAGGGAGAATTGAAATTTCTTGTTCCTTTTTTGGTACCAATGGGGAAATTATATGTATAATTGACTTCGAACATTCCTATGTGCGCTCTGTCTGCGTCGAACTGACCGTTTAAGTTGGTATACTTTCCCAAAACCAAAAGGCCCTGCCGCCCTCGCCCCTCCCGCCCGGCCGCCGCCTTCCTCTGTCTTTTCCCCACGTCAACGCAAACCTGATAAGTCCTTTGATGCTTGAAAGGCTACAAACAAAACTGAGAGGTCGTTTGGATGAGGAATTGTAACGTATTAATTTGACACAATTGTCTCGTTTTAAAACAATTGTACCAAATTGTCTCGTTTGCCAGCAAAAATAATGGATGGATCAATCTGCCTGAGGTATTTTGAATTGATTCGTTTTGAGTCAATTTCAATTACCTGGGGTGGGGCAGGTAATTCGAATTGACTCATTTTAATTGCATTGTTTATAAGACGAGACAATTAATCAAATCTAGATTGATCCATCCAAACGACCCCTGAGTTTATTTAAGCCAATTCATATATCATATATCAATTAATTAGCAATTCCAACTGGCTTGCTAATCACAATGTTAGTTGTCGAGACAGTTTAAGAGTTAAGCTCCTCCACAAGTTACTGAGTTGAGCTAAGCAATACAAACTACCAAATAAAATTGACTTGCAAACCTCACAAGTTGAAGTAATATTAGTTCAAATTCGACTCGCTAGTAAACAATCTGAGTTCCGAACAATTAAATTATTGGATTGGCTCACACACAACTCGTACTCCTATCACTTTTAATATAATTTTTTAATTTTTATAGGATGGAACTTATTTTCCACCCGCCACCGTAAATAATGTGGAGGATTGAAATTCCGCACCACGTGAAATTTGGTCAGAGAAAAAAACACGAAATTTGTGTGCTTGGGCTCAATCTAATCTTCCATATCCATTGGACCCAAGTCCACAATGATCCATGAATGTATGGGCTATTGGGCTGAGGTCATAGATGGGTTTTATTGCTGGGTTGCCTGCCGCTCGACCCGTTTAGCTAGTTTTCCCCACTGGCAACACCCAATATTCCGAAATCTACGCCAAGTCCGGCGAACGTCGCCTGCGCTTCTCTTTCCCGACCTCCACCATTTCTCTTCTCGGCTTCCGGCTCCGGTAGACTGCAGCTGCCTCCGGGTTTCTTGCCGCCGCCTCCTATCGTCTCCCGTTCTTCATCAGCTTCTGCAGCTGTCCTCCGAGTCTCGGGCGTTACCTGCAACTTCTGTCTTCCGATCTCACTTTAATCAGCGGTGACTCCAACCTATCTCTCTCTCTCTCGCTACTACTCAACGGACCAATCCATAGTGAGGTTGGTCGTTTCCCTCCCTCCCAATTATATCCAAATCGCAGGCAATGTTTAAGAGCACTTGGGTAGTTTCGATTTCTGTCAATTTACTTGATTTCTTAGCTGAGTTCGTAGATGGTTTATTCAGATGTTGAAATGAGTCATGAATTCGTGTAGCATGCACATAATTCATTTAGGCAGAATACTTCGACTTATTAAGCTTGGGTTTGTTTCATTTGTGAAAGATAAGCTTGTATGGGTGATGCAGTTGATCACTCGGCTGAGCTTTTGAGCTTAGGATCACTGCATAGTTTGAGTTTATTCGAAATGCAAAGAAATCGTCCTGCCATTGATAACACGATTTGTTGGTTGTATGAAATGCAGGCAAGCTGGTCTAACTGACCATGAGGCATCAGAATTTGTAGCAAGAAATGAATGAATCATCTATAACTACTCCGAGGTTTACTTACATTAATGATCAAAAGGGGCCTTCCGCAGCAATTGACTTGCATCATGTAATAGTTCGCCAAATCAATTTGAAGGCTTTGTTAGTTTGCCTTCTTGCTTTCTGTTTCCCTGCCAATGGATTCTACCTCTTCATGGTCCTGGTGGGTAATTAATTATCTCTGCGCTACTTCTTTACAATGGGTGTTTTGTGGGGCTGAACATGGATGCTTCTTGTGGTTAGTGTTATTTGGGCCTACAACTGACGTTATACAACTCCTGAATTAACAGGATAAATCACCTTTCATTCTTTTGTGGAGTTTACTGTTGAGTTCAATCCTTCTCAAACTTGGTATTGGAAATTCTGTTGTGAAAGGTGAGAAGTAGTGATATCAGCCTCTTGTCCTAGAAAGCATCATTCTTTTTTCTTGAACTCTATATCCTGTTTGCTAGTGGCTTACATTGGTTGACACTTGCAGAGTCGGTTGTGATCCTGCCACGTTTCGGGGTTCAACTTGAAACGCATTATAGAAGGTATGCATATAAGTTTTGATACTGGCCTTCGATATTTCATTTTTGGACCCTTTTAGAATAGGAATTGAAAAATAAGAAAGAGGTAGCTGCCTGATGTAGAAGGAGGGCCTGAGAGTGCTTCTATGTACTAGCCTCCGCCTTTCAAACGAAAACAAACACAGCCATACCATTTTGATCAGAATCTCTGTTGAAGCTTGCCAATATTAGATTCACTGTGGAGTTTGCATCTGTCCTTTCCCTGCTGACCTGTTTCTTTCTCTACTTGGGAATTTTTTGCTGTGTAGTGGAAGAGTATCGCGCCATTTCGTGCCAGTGAGCAAGATTGTAAAGCCAGTGTTGCTGGAGCATGTGAGTCCGGTCACTTGCTACTGGCTTTTGTCTATGATTTTGCAGAAGGAAGAAGAACTGACTCCGGTTTTCAAGGTATGCATACAAGTTCTTCACATTTTTCAGATTTTCAAAATCCTCTTCAACTTGCATTCACGTTTGGTGATAGTTATGCCGTGATAAAGAACTGACAGTTTTAGAGTTGCAAATTTTGATTTTACATGGTGTTGATCAATGATTTAGAATTTTGGTTGTTCAGGAGTTGCACCCGCCTTTGAAGATGCTGGTTCCTATATGGAAGGCATTGTGTGGTGCTGTCTCTGGAGATAAGGACTCTTCCCTACATTCATCTGTAGAAGATTATGGACAGAGTGTTTTTAGTTAAGTTTGACAAATTGGATAATCAGATCGAGGAAAGAAGAAGAGCTTAAAAGTTCACTGGACCCTGGGTTTATAGGTCTTTCCTTCTTATACTAGTCTGCCCCTGATTCGAATATGTTCGAAGTCACAAAAATGGCCTCAATCTCAACTGGTATCCAATGGCTACAGGTTGTAGTATGAACACTGCCTTGTCAAAATGACTAGTTAGTGGGTGCATTGTCTTGTGCAAGTCTGCAACATGCGTGGTTGACTTATTGCTCACAGTTTTATACTCTTGTTTGCTTGGTCAGTCCACTCAAGTCCAACCAAAGAACAACGATTTGACAATGGCCCTTTCTTGTTCCGCTGAGCACACTAATCTTGACTTCGAAGCACAGCAATCCACATTACATGGTGAAGAAGCTTCTACAACCCTGGCACTATCCTGAGAATTGCTTGCCAGGACATGCACCTCTTATTTAGCGTGCGCACTCGAAGGTTCTGAATACAGTAAGTATTTTCGACTAACGCTACTCGTCCATTCGATAGATAGACCAGACTGATCCGGCCAGTCTGATGAGTATGACTACCTGCTGGATTGAATGCCATGTGAAAATACTGGCAATTGCATACTTATTGATGAATGCTAGTATAGAATGCCAGTCTCCATCCATGGGGAAGGTATCTTAATCTTATCCTGACAGCTTAGCCAGGAGAGGAAACAATGAAAACAAAACAACCAGAAAAGCCTCCCTTCCTCCTTCTTTGTGTTGCTTTGGATGCTTTTTTTGGTCCCTTTCCCTCCTTCAAAAGGATAAGAGAACAATTGAATGCTTTCCTGCACTACAAACACTCTGAGCATGATATCATCTCCCTCCACTGCAGCCCTCTCAGACTTGTCCATGGCTGTCCTTCCCATGTTTCCTTGTTGTTTGTATCGACTCACGACGTCCCAAGTCTTTCTTCACTTCGTACTTAACTCGAAAAGCTTCCTGCTACCGTGAAAACGAAATGATCTGTGTGTCGAAATAGTTACATACGACGACGTGAATGTATAACCTCTCTGACACCAAATTTGTTCCGTGTAACCCGCGCTAAACGAACAGTGTCGCGATCTCTTGTTCCCTCAACAGCTGTTGTTACACATTCATTCCTCCCCATATTGTAATGCTACGTAGCTTGTGCGTATATGTACATGTGCTAAGAACCAGAAAAGCAGATCATCAGGTTTCCTACATAGACATGAACCGAATCCAAAAACCCAAAAGCTAGATAGATTCGACCAAAAGTGACAAACCAACCAGGAAAACCACAATCTCCATGTTTCCATGTCCAGACAGACAAACCCCCTTTGAGACATCACTGTACATGTCGAAATTTGCATATATATCCACCCAGCTGCCCATCGTTCCTTGCTTTCCACTCACTCAAATACAGTTCAGTAAAACAAACCACACCCACCGAGGAGTACCGTTTCTCCGCACCTCAACGAGGAGAGTCATTTTGCCGGACGTACGCTACCGTGAACCATATCTTATGGTATCGAACTTTCGTATAACATTGTTGAACTCTTTGATAGGATTGATGAATGATACATATTAGGGCACCAATCCATTCCCTGTTTTTTGTTTGTGATATACATACACTGTATTATTCACCGCATGCAGCAGAGCGCGCGACTGATTGGACTGATCATCAGATAACCATATCAACAACAGGTTCCTGCCTGTCTGCCTGCCGGTGACTGGGTGTGGTAGGTATGCACCCTGCTGATGAGAAAATGGCTCCACCGTTTACCTTTCTCCACGGCCAACTGTCGCACACAGTTACTACTGTGTTTCCTGCAGTACACCAACAAGTTATGGTTATGGTTTCGTGGGTTAATTCCATTGAATACCATTTAAGTTCCATCAGTTGAAGGTTTTTTTGAAGGTAAATTTCTCCGTAACCCTAACCCACCATGGAAAACCAAGAAGGGTCTTATGTTATGACTGTAATCTCAAGTCAAATCCGACTAATCATATCCACCTTACAAGCTGAAGTCGATGCTTTGATGATAATTTTATTCAAACTGCCCTAGAAATGTCTGTTTTGATTAAATATTGAGGGTTGGAAGTGAAGTTCAAAATCTACTCAACCAAAGATTAGATATGATCAAGAGGGAAAAGGTAATTAGCACAAAAGGGTAACTTAATCATATGTCTTGAAACTTTTTTCAAGATAAAAAAAAATGGTTATGCATATATGTTAGACCCGGATAAATTTTTTGGCTAGCACGAAAACTAGCCACTTAAGGGAACACTTTCGAAAATCTACGGATTAATGGAATGCACTCCAGTTGAAATAGATCGTCGACCTTTCAATAATGAACTTGCTACCACTAAACAACATGGTTTAAACCTAATTATCTGAACATGATCCTACATGAAGGCTTAGAAAATATGAAGTTAGGGTTCCTCAGACTTCACGCAGATCCAGGGACGCTGATCACAGTAAACTCGCGTTAGATATGCATTTTTTTTTATTCTTTTTCTGAATTTTGCCTCTATGATAATATAATGCAAATAAAAAAAAAACATTAATCTATTGTGTTAAGAGTACTCTAAAACACTTTTAGAAAAGGAAACTATATACTCCAAAGATGGGAGGGAATCAAAGAACTAAAGATACATCCATGGTGTATTTTTGGGTATGGAGGGTGGGGTTTGGTTACCCCTGTTGGGTTGTCTCCAAAAATTTATTCCCCTCTGTCCAATATTATTGGCCTGCAAAATGTACGACTAAAATCCGACAAAGAGAATCAAAAGATGTTATTTTGTAATGTGGGAGCTAGCTAGAGTGGGCTTTTTTTTGTATAAATCTCCACTTGTACATATATTACTTCCAACCTAGCTTCAATATTGTATGATATCGTCCTATGGTGATGATGAAGAAGATCACATGAAGAGAGAATGTTTTAGTTTCTCATGGAGCTCTAGAACTAGTTCTGTTCATGCATCAATCTCGTTGACGTTTTTGACTTACTACTACTTCTGCCGACAAATGCCCTGTTTTCTATCAATAGAATCATCATGTGAACCAAACTCTACTTATTAAATCGAATCATCAAGATCTTGAATCTTCTTTCTTTGTTTGGTTTTATGAACGGTATGAATATTTATGTATGATCATGTCGCATCTGAAAAAAATATATCTATATAATCAAGAATCATCGTCATACTCATATAATCATCGTCATACTCATATACGGTGTTTTAATTATGCCAAACCAGTTTCTTTGACATTGGGAACGAGAGATTTAAAGAAATGCTCTAAAGGAAACAAAATTAGGGTATTTTATGTGAACATTAAGGTCGATTTTATTTCCCTTTCATTCACCGGTTGCTACCATCAGTCCATCACCATAGAGAGAAAAAAATGAGTCCTTGAATTGACTTTCTTAAAAACCTGACCCTGGGAAGTGAGAACATCGACTTTGAACAACATGGGCCGATTCAAAGTAAAGGCATGGGTCATGCAGAATGGCAGTTGGCCGGGTTCATGACAAATTAGGTCTAGGTCGATAGTTTGATTTCTCATACACATCGATGTCAGTCGATCTATTTGAATATGCGTCTCAAATAATTTTTTTTTATCATAAGTTAATTATTTCGTTAAAGGATTGAGAAATACCCTTGCAATATAAAATCGAGAGAACGACATGATCAATGAAATCAAATTAATTATTTAGCAAACTGATACTCTCACTTGATGTTAATTACTATATGGTTGAAAATGATCAAAATACGAAACAAGAATACGTAACATAACATATGAGTAACTAACTTGAAGAATGAAGCAGGTCCCCGATGTAGGATGGAAGTACTAGAGGGGAAATAAAGTACTGGATTAAACTCTTTTCTATGATTACTCGCTGACTCCAGGTAAATGGTAGAAGAATCAGACCCATCACGGTACATATCATCCATCATATGAGCATAATCATCACACTTCACTCCGATAGAATTTTCAAAACACATCGGGTTAAAACAGATCAAATCGAAATTGTTAGATACCGGGGCGAATCAGTTCACAAGGCAAAGGGGCAAATAGGGTAGGGTACCCCGTTTATTCATTAAGGTGTCATCCTCAATGTTTGCCTTTCCCCCGACCTCTCCCTCTCTTCCCCCAACCCTACAAACTACTACATCACTTTCCACCTCTTTATTTTCCTATATATCTCCACATCCTTTTTCTCTTCATAATCTGCTCTCCTTCTCCATCTCCATCTCCTCATATATCTCCCGGCTTCCAGGTGATCATCAACGTCGTCTTTTGCCCGATGGAGCTACAGCTGGGCCTCTCTCTCCCCACCGCCGTCACGGCGGCGCCTTTCGACTTGAACGGCGGCGCGGAGCTCCAACGGAAGCATTACTATGATAACAATAACAACGCAAATAAGCGTGGCTTTGATCTGGCTTTCCCCTGCACCACTACTACTACATGTAAGACCGAATCATGTGACGTCGACGACGCCAGCGACATTAGGTCGTCGCCGGAAACGATAACACTGCCTCTGTTTGTGTGGAGTGCCAACGGCGGCCGGGAGGAGAACAACTTATCTCATCACGGTGATCGTTTCCTCCAAATCCGCAGTGACGTTAATTATGATTACAGGCAAGTTTACTAATTTAGTATTTCCTTAGACAACATGTTATTAATTGGTTAGACCATACTTTTAGTTAGGATACATTGTAGAAAGATGTACAACATCTACTAAAAATCGTGACCGAATTTGTCGGTGTGACCGATCGAAATGTGGCAGGAACGAGGAGAAGGAGGATGACGACGACGACGAGCTGCAAATCGTAGGATGGCCACCGATCAGACCGTGGGGGAGGAACAAGTTCGAGGAGAGCAACGCGATTGGTCGGAATATCTATGAGAATACAATCGGTTGTGGATTAGAAGAGGCTAATAATAATTATGATGGTCGCGATAATAATAATAATATTACTAGATCGATAATGTCGATTAACGGCTCCAGATCCAGTAGGTTTGTGAAGGTGAAGATGGAAGGCGTAGGCATCATACGGAAGATCAATCTCAGCATCTACCATTCCTACCCTGCCCTCATCCGCTCCTTGCTGATCCTCTTCTCCAAACATTGTAAGGAACATAATGTCTTTTTTCAGAAACTTCAGGGACCAAACTGTCATTTTTACTAGAATAAAGTGACCTCTCGATCTGTCGGGTTTAATGGAGAAAGATTCCAATACGTCGATCGTAAAACAATATTTTGCTTGATCCGTAACATGATTAATTAAATGTTTGTGATATCAAAGCCCGATTATTTGGTTAACTAGAAACATATTCGTATCGTATTATGTAACCTAATTAACGTGGCTAATTGGTTTGGACACTGCAGGCCAAAACAGTAGTAGCGATGATGACGAAGATAGCGGGAAAAAATATACGCTGATGTATCAAAACAAGGCTGGAGACTGGCTAACAGCTGGAGACGTTCCATGGCAGTAAGTATTAGATAAACAATGTTGTGTTCCATGGCAGTACAATTTTAATTTTGAAGTTGAATAATCTTATTAGTTAATCATATCATATGATTTAATAATATCTACTGCATGTCTAATGATGATTGCTTGAAATCTTGATCTGCAGGAAATTTATTCGATCTGTGCAGCGTATTGAGATACTCATGAGATGATGGAATGAGGGTTGTGGAAATTTAAAGCAATGTAGCAGCTCGATGAAGAAAATGATCGATGATGCGAGGCAGATATATATTTGTTCGTTAGTACGTGACGGAGCTACGCGAAACAATTAATAGTTGTTGTAGGTTATGTTTCGATTTATATTACTACCAGATCTACATTTATCAATTACTCTAATTCGTCTTCGTTAATGTTACATTTATGCGTCAAAGCTTTTTCCGTACTAGTATTAATTTTCCTTGTATTAGTAATTGGCGTATCTAGGGTTTCTTACAATGTTCAAACTTCAATTCTTCAAACACATTTTTCATATTCCACATTATCCTGAAATGTGTTCATCATACAAACACTATGAATATCTCTTTCATACATCCTTCTAATTTTCTAAATGTGAAGGAAAGACGTAAAGATTGGGTGGGAAATGCCAAAAAAATAACTTCTTTAAAAATTATGTCAGGCATTTTCATGATTAAAGATGATAATAAATTATCATATTGAATAAATATAACATATTCTGATAAAAGGGACATATACTCATGTGTTTTCATGAACTCTTTCGGATGAAAACATTGAAATAATTTGATAAAAACAAGAGAGTGACTGATTTTTAGTGCAAGCAACAAGGGATTGAACATTTGAACTAGAGACAAGAGTGGCATGATAAAACTTCGAAGCTAAACTTATTTTGGATGTGAGCTAGTGAGTTGTCAAAGATTAAGGAATGATCATACATTCTGTACTATATTTAATTAATTGTAATTTTTTTATATTCTTTAGTATTTTGATATATCGATCACAATCTCGTAATCCTAAATAAAATCAAAATTAATTACAATTCCTAAAAATCAACTCGGGTAGTAATAAATTCGGTACCATATTGATGGTACGAAATGAGTATCACAGATTCCTACTAGGCTACTAGACAAATCTTTGGATCCAGTCTGTCAGAAATGTTGCTAAATGGGCAGCCAACTTCCCGTATCAAACGTTGTTTATAAACCTTTTCCCAAGGTTTGGATCCAGTCCATTCAAATTAAAGCCCAGATAGGTTGTAAACGAAACTTTGGTTCCCAAGACAATCCATCACCATCAGAAGTGTTGTTAAATGGGCAGGCCCAAAATAAATCTGAAAAAAGCTTTAGGATATGTCTTGAAATACGTTAAACAATCAGACTCGCACTCTACCAATTGCACAATTGTATTCCCTGGAATCTTAATAAAAACAGAGTTTACAACCTTCACTCTCAATCAAACTGAATAGCTTGAAATTACAGAACAGAGAGTGAGCATAAATTGGTTCCGCTGATTCTACGGCCACGACTGTATTATGTATCGTAGGTCGAACCAATCACGATATTAAACTCATTTGAGAAAGATTTCAAACTTTCGAGTCCAATACACTTACCAAGAATCATTTTCTATTTTAGTAACAACTAGCAAGCTCTCATTTTTTTGTTTTCTTTTTCTTTGATCAAACTTATTAGCTGCCATATACAGCTGAGTCAGCAAATTAACATAATCAAAGCTTTTTCCAGTCAACTCCATGCTTTGATTTGAAGTAAACTAATATTTTCCCAGCCGCCAATCAGATCACTTTCCTCCCCAAACGATGCCATTTGGCAAGCCATCCTTCATTCTCTTCTTCACAGCATAACAACACACAGAAAACCCTCTCCAGACAAAGGAAAAGCATCCATGCCCCCACCTTCACCAACCCCAACAGCATACGAAATGAAATCTCCACCGTCGATTCATCCACTCCTCCAAAGCATCAGATTACAAGTGGACAAACCCTACAGTGTCATCTAGTTTCTGTTCCTTGTCTCTATTTGGCAAATTGGGGGTTTTCATAATCACAAAAGATCAAGAACAAGACCCTTTCAGAACAAAGAAAGTCTGACCATGAAAAAAGTTTGATTTTCCCCACTTTGTTATAGTTCTGTTCAGACTGATGCAGCAGACTAATCCACCAAAAGTTCTGGTCTTTTTTTCTAATCTGGAGATGGCGACCATTCTCGTCCCTTTCATCAGCCTAATCTCCCCAGATTTTTGTTGGCTTCCACCCGCTGGTTGCAGCTTGGCGTCGCAGAATAATAATATGTACAACTACTGTCGGTTTCTCGCTTGTCCCACTGAGGGGAAGACACTGTTATATCACCTGGGGAGGCCGGCTTGGGCCTGCAATTGAGAAATCTCTCAAAAGAGAATTTCTTACAATGAAGTTCGTCAGCTTCAGTTTCCTCCTACTCTGCATTTTCCAGGCGGTTTCTTCACAACCCACCACCGATCCCAAAGAAGGTTCTTCTTTGCTCGATTTTGCTCACATAAAAGTTTCTTGCTTTGCTAATAAGCACAGCTTTCTGAGTTGCTTGCTTGGCTCTATTGTTTGGTTTTCGTTTCGCTCCAGTGGCTGCTCTCAGCAGGATAATAGAGTTCTGGAACTTGAGGAACAAGTTGAACATAACAGGAGACCCATGTGCCCAAAATGCAACTTGGGCACCGGAAACTGCAAACCCTCGAGTCTCTTGTTCCTGCGATGCCACCATCTGCCACATCATTCACCTGTTTGTTCTTCCTTCCTTCAGTCTATCTCCATTAATCTTCAAATCCCTTTTTTTCCTCTGTTCATCACAGCTTCTTATGTGTGAACCTTCATCAAATTTCCAGGAAGGTTTATGCTCTGGACGTTTCTGGAGAGATACCCATTGAGCTGTTTGATCTCAAGGAGCTCATGGACCTGTAAGTAACTTAATCTCAATAAAAGAAAGGGGAATGATGGTGGTCTGATTAATGTCTGAATTTTGAGGGTGCAGGAATTTGGGGCAGAATGTGCTTGGAGGACCTATCCCAGCTGAAATCGGGCAGTTGTCCAAGATGCAGTACTTGTAAATATTGCTAATCACCAACTACCTTATAAAAGCTTCAGTTAACATAAACAACTTGGCCAGTTCTTAACTTTATGAACATTGTTTCCTGTTACTGTGATCAATGATTGTGAACAGGAGCTTAGGAATCAACAACCTGACAGGCACTCTCCCACCAGAGCTTGGAAACCTGACCAAGTTGATTTCCCTGTAATTGAAAGAAAACACTCTCCTCTATCATCTACAGTTCTGTTGTTTCTTTCAAGTGAACACATTTCAAGCAGATTCAATTTTCATTTTGGACCCTACAGAAGCTTCAGCTCCAACAATTTCAACGGGCCCTTGCCGCCTCAACTTGGGAACTTGACATCTTTGCAGCAGCTGTATATTGATAGCAGTGGACTCAGTGGACCAATACCGCAGGAGCTTGCTAATTTGAAATCCCTCCAAAGCCTGTACTTTTCCCTCTCTTCCCTCCTTGGAGATTGATTAGTCATTCATATTCCGGTCAACGGGTTGTTTGATTCGTTGCACGAATTCGTCCTTATTTTCTGTCTTTTTCAGGTGGGCTTCTGATAACCAATTCACTGGCAAGTTCCCAGAGTTCATTGGAACATTCACAGAACTGAGGGACCTGTAAATTACTTAACCTCCACCCACTTTCAGGAACCCTATTCTCTTCTACGTGACCTCTTTTCCTTTTGTTTTCGCAATCCTGATGTTGGAAGGAATTCGCAGGCGACTACAAGGCACGTCGCTTGAAGGTCCAATCCCAAGCAGTTTGAGGAATCTAGATAAACTTGATAGCCTGTAAGTTCAAGGCCACAAATAGGAAAGCTGTGTTATGAATGTAGCAACCAACTGATGAACTTATTAGCGACGTTGTTTACGATTGTTACCATGTTATCTACAGGAGGATTGGCGATTTAGGTGGTGCAGATTCTTCTCTTGATTTCTTGGGAAACCAAACTAGCTTGTCCATATTGTAAGCATATAACATTTCCAGGTAGCAGATGCTCTGATCAGTTGCTTGCTCAACAAGCTTTCTTTTAACTACATACCCTTATTTGCTGCAGGATACTGAGGAATAGTCGCATCTCAGGCCAGATTCCTGATGAAATCGGCACGTTCTTGAAGCTCCAGCTGCTGTAAGTCTACTGGTTCCATGCGTCTTTTCGTTGTTTCAGTATCGGTTAGATAAGCTGGGGAGTGATCATATAGACAACTTACAACCTTCTTTTTCTTTTGACATGACAGGGACTTGAGTTTCAACAAGCTGACAGGTAACATTCCATCCTCGTTTCAGAACTTCCCTCTGCTACGCTACATGTAAGTCATCTTCATCCTGAGCCATGCTCTTTTCCTCTTTGTATTTGTGTCTTTAAGCATTGCTAAAATGGACTCATGAAAGGTGGAAAATGTTTCAGGTACCTTGGCAACAATGGCTTAAGTGGAGAGATTCCTGCCAACATCATAAGCTCAAACCTCGTTTCACTGCAAGTGTTCTTCACTTTATTACCAGCTACTCCATTTTGTTCTCTTGACTTACTTACATTACATTGATCTCTTGAACAAGCCAATTTACGCTTCCATGTCGAATCGCAGAGATGTTTCCTTCAACCCCCTCTTCGGAAAACTGCCCCTGAATTTCGCTCGAGTTGGATTGTCCATGTAAGTTCCAAATTCCGCTTCACCACTTATCAACCTTCTGATACGTTGGACCAAAACACTATAACCCAATGATCTGATCGATTCTTCTTCAGGAATCTCGTCGGGACATCCATCGATTCAAACAGTCTCTTGGACAGGTGAAATCGCGAGCTCTTCTGTTCTTACATGATCAAAATTCTCCCTCCATTTCCCCCATTTTGACAACAGGGTTTTTGGTGACTACAGCCAAGCATCAGGACTGTTGCAGTGCGTCCGTCAGGATTCCGAGTGCAGCAACAGCAAGCCACTTTCATCCAGTTACGTTAAAAACGGACCAAAAAACTCTGCTACCTTTTTTCAATTCTTGTTACCAATCATCCAATTTCCCTAACAGAATCTCTTCTCAACATCGTGACAGCTTCATTCGCCATCAAGTGCGGTGGCAGCAGCCAGACATCCGCATCAGGAATCGAGTACGACGACGAGTCAGAAATCCTCGGAGCAGCTTCACTCTACACTAGCTCCAACAACGAGTGGGCGGTGAGCAATGCAGGGAACTTCATTTCCAACCCGAACGGACCGGTCTACACCGCTCGAACCGAGTCACAAATCATCGGCACCCTCGACTCCGAGCTCTACAAGACCGCCAGGGTCTCGGCCAGCTCGCTGAGGTACTACGGATTGGGGATGGAGAACGGGAAGTACACTGTCGAGCTCCATTTCGCCGAAATCGAGATGGGCGACCCTTACTC